TTGACGCCTTTTATCGACAACATCTATCAAAACCAAGATAAAGAATTGCAAAGATCTATGAAAGATGATGACTGCTCTTTGTGGTTCTCATTCCTAGAAGAGGGGGTAATGTCACGAACATATACATTTATCTCAATAGTTACTTATATAATTAGATAGAAATAAGTAAATATAGATTAATTTCATAAAGTCTTCTAGAAAAGCTTCCTAAAAGTTAAATAGACGCGGTTTTGACTTTAGATGTATTTGTAGGTTAGAAACTTGGCCAACAAGCTAACCACGTATTGGTAGCTTATGGAACAAGTTAACTCCGTGTACTAGCTTGTGGAACAAGCTAACTATGTGGTGCATATATAAATAACTTGCCTTGCAAGTTAAGACATGTGATTAGCAAAGTCAACATGTTTTGGAGGTCCTATATGACATCACCACGTAGCTTCTAATTATAAGTATATAAGGAAGCAAGAGTGAAGTCTTCTTCACTCTTGTTAATGATGTTCTAGTCCTAAGTCTTATTTCAAGACTTTCTAGTCTTCTTGTTTTTGGCAATAGCCATTCTAGTTAATATTACATTATCTTTTTAAGTGACTTTTTAGTTTTCTTGAGTGAGACAAGAAAGTATCAAGGATTCTCTTTCTTTGAGATTCATGTCCCTAACACTTGTACGATGGACATTGATGCTTCTGACCTTGCTATTAGAATAGTCCTTCAGCAAGACTTTCATAGGAGCCTTCAACTTGTGGTGTATGAATCACGCAATCTCAGAAAGGCAAAGCGTAATTGCTCTGCTCATAATTGGAAGCAATTAGCAATTGTACATACCACAAAGGTATGGTGACACTATCCATTGAGGAAGCCATTGGTTGTTTGGACCAACCATCGATTCTTACTATATTTGCATTTGAAAAATATGAAATTACAGCATCATTATTAAAAAGAATAATTATAGCTTTTTAATATCCATCTTCAGTACAAACAAAGGCGTCAATATACTATACTACATAGTTTATCATGGAGACCAAATTTGGACGACAAATCAGAAGATAAGACAGAAGTCACCACCATTAATAGTATCATTTTAGATCTAACCAAAGCAAGAAAATAGAAAGATGCTACGCAATGGGATGCTTATTTCAAGATGATTAACAATATATTAAAGTTGGGCAATATATAATATCAAAATTACATACTTAGTGAAGGCTTGTTCTATTTCAAGAAGCAAATTTATGTACTCAACAATACTAAACTCCGGATGCGCATACTTTAAGAAAGATATGACATCCCAATATCTAGACATCTGAGATAATAGAAAATTTTAGAACGAATCTCAAGGACATGCTTTTGAGCAAGTTTGGATCATGATGTTTGAGCCTTTGTACACTCTTACAAGTCATGTCAATGTAACAAAGCATGCAATGTAGCATCTTTTAGACTATTGCAACTAATTTCTCTATCCACGGCACGTTGGAAGCAGGTGACTATGGATCTCATTATGTATTTATTGCAAACATCTCATAATCATACCATAGTTACTATCTTTGTACATTCATTCTCAAAATAAGTTCACTTGGTCGCATTGCGCTTGGATATTGATGCATCAATACTTGCATGAGTCTTCTTTGATATCGTCTTTTGTCACCATGAATTACCTCATGTCATTATTTTAGATTAAGATCCATGTTTCATGAGAAGTTTTTTGGTAAGTCTTGTTCAAGCTATTAGGTATATGACTTGTAATGTCTACAACCTTCCATCTTCAAACAGATGAGCAAAAAGAGCGTACAAATCGAACCTTAGAGGATATATTGTGGGCATTTTTGAAGGTTCATCATAATGATTGGGATGAATACTTGACACCCTTAGAGTTTATTTATTATGATAGTATTCAAGCAAGTACCGATTATTCACCATTTTTATTTAATATCAGTCAGCATCTAATTAGGCCAGTAACTCTCCATCAATACCAACAACCCAAGAATAGAGGAATTTATATACCGGCTTACAACAACCTTATAAGAGGCATGGCACCGCCTTCTTACTACACAAAATTGATAGAAGTAATATACGGATCACCATCAACAATACAAGTCCTTTCTGGAGGATAATTAGATGTTACTCTCCAACGAGAAACTTGCCACTTGCTACATCAACCCAAATTTGTAAACTAGTACTTGGATAGCTTGGACCTTTTGCATTTTTGCAGTGATTTCTTATGTCACATATTGCCTCAAGTTTCTACCACATATTCGGATCTATCTAATTTTTCATGTTTTGCAAGTGAAGGAATTTCATACCGAGCCAAAGCGATTCTTGGATTGATATCAATCGCCACCACCACGAGTTGTAGTAGATGACTAACAAGAATATGAAATGGATAGCGTTTTGGAGCATCGCTACCTTCATCATAGCAGTGGACATCCACAACTTCAGTACAAAGTTCTTTGGAAAGATTATTCCATTTACGATGCAATATAGAAACCTACACAAAACCTCATCTATTGCTAAGAGATAATTCAAAGATACCATAGGGAGCAAAATGAGAATGCTCCATATTAGTAGACAAGAATTAATTATAATAGGATATAGATAAGATAATTATATAGATAATTAGAACCATAGAAGTTTCTAGAATTGGAGTTTGGTTAATGGATCGAGTAAGATGCACCATAGAACATTCTAAAAAGAATTTAGGACAGTTATATAGGTAGAGCCTATGATAAAATCTTCTAAAAAAGAAGTTTAAGGCAGTTATCTAGGTGGAGTCCACTACCTAGGATCATTCTAGAAAGTCTAGGATAATAAGACAAGGTATAAATAGGACTAATCAAGGCCTTTTGGGGTATCTAGTCAGATATGGCTTCAAACCCTTTTTCTTAAGAAAATTTGATTTTACATCTTTTAATTTAGATCTATTTTATTTTATTATGTTTATGTTTACTCAGTTTTATCTTTCATGTCTTATTCTATTTAGTTCTATTCATTTTTGTTCTAATCTATTTTGTCTTATTTTATGAAGAGGCCTTATATTCTTGTGGATTGGAAGGATCTTGGATTTTTGAGATAGCCTAGTCTTGTTTCACTTCTAGGATCTAATGAAAATTTTCACAAAGAAAGATAATCTGCTCTTTTTAAGAAAAAAATCAATGTTAGAAATCTAAAGAGTTTATTTAAAGGTCAATAATCCGCAATTTTTAAAATATAACAATAGAAGTGAAGTTATCTACTTATTTTTAAAATATGACAAGAACAATGAGTTAGGACTCCTATCAAACTGTTAAGGATATAAATCCCAAAGAAAAAAAATCTCAATACATTCTTGTATTACTTAAAAAGAGTAAAAAATCATTCAAAGATGGTAATATATTGAACTAGAATGGCTATTGCCAAAGATAAGAAGACTAAAAAGTCTTGAAATAAGACCTGGAACTAAAAAAGCATTGACAAGAGTGAAGAATACTTCACTCTTACTTCCATATATATTATCTAAGTATGAGCTACATGGCAATGTTCTATAGGACTTTTAATATATGTTGATTTTGCTAAACACATGTTTTAACTTGGAAAAAGGGTTTGCTCCAAAAAGTATATATATCAAGTATATATATATGTTCCAAAAAAACAATAGATCCTCCAAGTTTTAGAAATATTTGAACAATAATATTTTGGATTTGATATTTCAAGTGATTTTACAAATATTAGGTGTTAAATTCCAATTATTTGATTTTATACGAATATGATGTTTGAAACCCTCTATAATGTACATTGAATCATGAATGTTAGACTTTACAATTCATTTATAAGTTGTTTCATATTTTTCAATTCAAACTCCAAAATAATTCATTATATTCAAATAATTCACATGCTTATATATATATATATATATATATATATATATATATATTAATAAAATAATATTAATCATAAATATCTTCTACAAATAAAAAATAATAATTTGTATAAGAAAAGTATGATTTAGTCTTATATCTTGTATATTTGTTGAAATTTTTTAGAAATTTGCACTTCTAAAATTTGTGGAAAATTATTTTTTGAAGACAAGATTTTTCATAGTATAGTTTATTATTATTATCATTATTAATATATTATTATATTTTTAAAAATATGATTATATCTTATAGAAGTTAAAGTTTATTTATTCATTGCTTAAATTTTTTATGCCACTTTCGAGTATATATATTTATATATGTTTTCACACACATAACCAAAAAAAATTAAAGTAAAATAAAATAAAATCAAGTTTTTTTTGTTGACAAGACTTATACATTGAGATGAAATACCACTAAAGCATGATGTAGTTTTACATTACATTTATGCAAAAGAAATATAACCAGACAGGAGAGAACCTCTACTCTTTATTAATTTAAAAATATGTGTTTCAGCTGTGCTAGGCAACTATTCAATCCCCTTAAACTGACCCTAATCCTCCCCCAGCAAGAATTTGAAAAAATAAAATAAAACAAAATAAAAGCAAATTTTGTGCTAAACAAAATGACTTGCCTTGAAATAAAAATAATTAGGGTTTGTAGCAAATTCAGGGTTTCAAAGCAACCAAACCACGACCCACGATGACAATAGTTTCATGTTTTATTTAGTGCTTTATTTAGTTGTTTGCTTTTGAATTCCCACCCTCGGAAGTAGCTCCGAGAAAATCATTTTTCACTCGCCACGTAATGTTTTTGATTTGTTTTTGTTTTTGTATTTTTTTAGTTGATTGTGTGTGTGGGGGGGTTGTTCCTGGTCTCATTTCAAGGAAGGAGTCGTCGGCGTCCACGTCGCGAAGCACTGCACTGCCAGATCCAGAGTAAAGAACGCCTGGAGAAAAGCGCAATTGATTTGCACCGCATTCTCCATGTTTTGGTTGTTTGTATCCGTCGTCAGAGGTGCTGCTGCTGTGGTGCGTCCGTCCCCTCATTCAAGGCTCAACCACAAGCTGCTCTGGACGAGTAACAATTGCGGAACTAGAAACCTTTTAAGGTGTTTTAACTCCCCTCCCCTTCCCCTTCCTCCCACATCACTCCAGTCCACGCGTCCCTTGATCCGGGCGCTGGCAGGTCGCATGTGAATCTGAGCATCCGTTTCTTTATTTATTTTTATTTATTTAGAGATTTCTTTACATAATTTTTGATTTTTGGGGAGATCGATGGAGCACTAGCGGAGGTTCCATCTTCCTTTTAGCTTTCACGGCATTATTACACCCGCCTGCTAAGTTCATAGCAAGTCAAACCTGACTGGGTGTGGGGCTTCCGGATTTCCTTTTCCACTTCCTTTTTGTTTTGTTTTGTTTTGTTTTTTCGCCTCTTTTGATTTCCTGCAATTGAGCTTAATACAGTTGATTCAGATAGTGGAGAAGCTAACTTGTAGGGGCCAATTTGCTTGAGATCTTGTTTCTGTATTTTACCACTTCGCCACCCCACATGTGTCGATTACCAAGCAGATCGAAGGGTCTCGGGTGCCACCGAAATATACGAAGCCTGGAGAGATCGTTCGGCAGAAGAGGACATGAAGAGTGAATGCTGGACTGGCAAGCGTTGATACCTAAACAATTATCCGAAGAAATCGAGCATGGGGAAGGCTGTAAAGATGCCCAGCTACTACGAATTTAGTAACCCTCTCCCCTACATCAATCGCTTTATTGTGTCCAGTCTCTCATCCATTGGGCCCCATCTTAAATTCTCTCTCGCTCTCTTCTCGGGAAGAAATTTTCCTTTTTTCTTGTTCAATTCTATTTAAATAAGCTGGCAGTGATTTCCTGAGAAGGAAATCCTGACACGGCCTTCTACAGGTCTTTGATCAAGTCGCAAACAGGAAACGAGTGAGGTGGGGGATTCTCCAAAATGTTCATAACTCCAGCCCCTCTAGTTACCAATGCGGTACCTCGAGTAACGTGGGTGCAGCGAAAAACCATGTAGCGGTACGTTTCTCTGACCTTGGTTGTGATTATTTGAAAAAAAGAAAACAGGGATTTAAAATGACTTCATGCAACTGGAATCGTTTCTTGAGCCAATCGACGGTTGATGATTGAGTCCCGTGCGTACTACTGCTTAATTACTCTAATGGTGTGATAAGTGTTATGGGCTTCTCCCCCCCCCCCTAATTGAGAGGAATTCGTGTTTCTATTAAGACACATGCAATTTTTCGGCCGTCGATCTGGGTTCTCGAGGTTGGTCTTGGCAGGCTGGCAGAGATCTTCCATCTCGGATGCTCCTGTACAGTGTACAATTTTCGTTCCAGAAGCAGCGCGGTTTGCGTTGCAAGGTTTGTGATGAGTTGCATGGTGACTTGGATGGAGATGGCGAAGGAGGAGGAAGGTCATGAGATCCTTGTTGGCCGCGACCAAGTTTGAACAGACCAGTTTCAACCGACTTTGTCAGAGAAAGAGAGAGAAGGGGGGGAGCCAGTCATGTCAGGAACAAGAGAGCGTCAGAGGAGGAGATGGAGGTGGAGGAGGGACAGCAAAACCCAATTGTGGGGCCCAACGAGAGCAGATGCCGCTTCTTTCCATCGCCACCATGATACTGGGGCCCCTAGAAAAAGCTGTGGTTTGGAATCAGGGTGGAACGAAACAAGTAGGAAACAGCCGAAAGCAGCGCAAGGAAAGGAGCAGAAACCAATATAGAATTAAAAATAAAAAAATAAAAAACACATGATGCCGACGACAACGACGATGACGCTGGTGTTGCAGCAGCTGCCCTCGATCCATGAGCAGCAAGCTCAGCCCAGCTTTCCCTGGGTGGGCGGAAATTGCGCTAATGACTGCCTAAATCCGTCAAGTCCAGTGCCGTTTCCACCACGCTTCTCCGCAGCAGCATGGCGAATATGGGATGGGATGGATTGATGGGCCACGGGGATCGCTGTGGCCTTGATTGATTGGTTGCTCATGGGGGCGTGATTGCTCCGTCTTCTACTTGCTCCCCTCTCTGCTGCTGTCATGGCGATCGAAGGCTGAATCGGCGATCTGCCTTCGCAATCCGGTCTCAATCTTTCATTCTCATTTCCGGTTTCAGACAAAATCTTTCTACACGTGGTGGATCCGACGGAACTTCTTCTACTTCTAATTATTATTATTTTCCATAATCCCCTTCAAATCGATATGGCCTTTCCTTCTTGTTCCTCTACTGCTGCTACTTCTTCTCTACTTCTTCTTTGCTTTTTCTGGATCTTCGACGAGCTGGTCTTCGGCTCCCTCGTCGTTTAGATTTCACACGTCCTGCTGCTGGTGCTGCTCCTCCACCTCCTCCGCCGCTGGTCCCTCTGCTTGTGCTGCTCAATTCCTCACCATGACCGAAAAACTTACGTCATCTTTTTGTTTCCACTAAACACTAAAGAGTAGAAAAATACAACGATGCGCTGCTGATTCCTTTTGTTTTATAGGCCTCTCGTTTGTTGTAGATTGGAACAATTTTCTACTTGGTTTTTCTTTTCTTTTTAAAGGGCAATTGTTACATGAATTGTATGTGAAAAAATCGAATTGACAATGCAATTTTCCAATTTCTCATGTATCGGAATGTGTGTGCGTGCCTCTGAACATAAATATATGTATAAATATACAATAATGGCTTTAAAACTGATGGAGTGATTAATAGGTAGTAGTGCATTGCCTCACTACGCAACTTAGAGCAATTTTAAAGCTTACAAAAAAAAAAAAAAAAAACATTAGTTCAGAATTTGTTACTACTTATTATCCATAACACAGCAGGTAAAGAAGTTGATTAATAAGCAGACATTTTTACCCCAGTAATCTAATGCTCTATTCTGACCTTCAAATTGAGTTACTACCGCAGTGACTCGTGCAGCATAATGCAACTCATCTCAAATTTTGAATTAACATTAAGAGACAAAGTCACTGAATGATTTGGAATAATAATAAATAATGCAATATATTATGCTGACTGAAAATTCATTTTTTTGTGTTGTATACATATAAGTATGTATATATATATATATATATATATGTGTGTGTGTGTGTGTGTGGTGATCAGGATGTATTATGCCCCAACTACAAAATTACAAACAGATAGAATACATTATAAGTTGGTAATATTTAAGAAGAAAAATACTGATATTAATAATAATGAGGAATAAGCCACATGGTTGTGACTATTGCCTTTCATTACTTGAAAAATTGAAATTGCTTGAATCAAAGATTTTGACTTTATTTTGCATGCTCTTGATTTGAAATAGATTCATATTTTTTGCCAATATTCATAATAATACACAATTTTGTTGCATTGTATGTATACATATGTGAATATATATATATATATATATATCAGAATCTGAAATAGACCCAAGATTTTACAAAATCAACCTTTCCGTGATGAAATATTTGGTAATTGTGATGAATGTGGTTGGTTTTCATTGGTTTCAAATTCAATAATGGAGATATGAATCTAGATGACATTTATATATTCATTTTCATAATGGTTAGGATGGGGTTTTAACATTCTCATGTATGAATCTTCATATATATATATATATATATATATACACGCACACACATATATATAGATGATTGAATTCAAATTTAAGTGAACTTTTATGTTGAACTGTTACTTGTTCTATGTTTATCAATTATGAGAAAATTGATACAAATTTCTTCATCATTTGATTTAGAGACACTCGTTCTTTTGGCGAAATATTCACTTTACTCCACAAACTCCTCCACCACCACAACTGCTAGTAGTAGTCTAAACTACTGCCATTTCTACTAGTGAGTAGAAGAACCTACTAGTAACTTACTGGTCACGATTTCTACAAAGGGAAGCGGCGACGATGAGGACAAGTGACAGTTGAGTGGGGCTTAGGGTCGTCTTTACGAACTGGGCGAAGCTTACGCCCAGATTGCGCGACCCCCTCGTCGAAGAATGGCAAGAGCCGTCCGGAATGCGGAGCCAAGCTGCTTCATGGAGGTGACGAGGGGCTCCGTACTTAGATGGAATTCCCTCGACGGACATTCGGATTTCGTGCAGCATGCTGGAGAAAAAAAACAAAATGGGTCAATACTCTCCGTGTTTACTGTGGCGCAATTTCCCCGGCGCTGGTCTGGGCGATTTGCAGCAAGTGTACGTGGAGCGTGATCTCCGAAGGAGAAAAAACGGTTTTCGTGTGTTCACACTCTTGTGCCGTTCCAGCTGGGTGAACAGTCCCCATGTGGGTAAAGCCACCTCCTGACTCAAGCCCTAAAACCACAATGCGCACAGTGAAGTGCTTTGATGGGTTTTAGCTCCTCGGGGTCTAATCTATCCACAACTTGCAATTGGCTGGAGAGGGAGACCCTTTGCGAAGTGGGTGAAGCTTCTAGAAGGCTCTGGTGTGTGCGTCGCATTGTCTGGAAGAGAACGACGAAAGCGGAGCAGTCCAATTCCGCTTTTTTTTCTGAAGGATAATGGCGGCTAGCTAGATAGCTACTTCAACGCCACAATCTCCAGCGGTTCCAATAGTGTCCCTCCCCATGCGTTGGTTTGTCTGTATCCAATCCATCACGGCATTGACTCACCGGGGGGCCGGCTCGTGCATCGGTCTCTGCGGGGCGGGCGGGGCACCAACCTGGGATGTCGAGGACGATTTTTCTCCCTCCTTCTCTCTGCTCTCCCACTTTTTTTCCCTTTAAGAAGCTTTGAATGCAACACGTACGAGCCTTACACTCACATCCTGCAAGCTTCCACATCGGCGCCACTGAAAGCGCGTGCCCCGTGTCGTCACGCCGACTTCTTCTCCATTGTTGGACTGTGCAGCTGCTGTTACTGCTTGTGGGGCGTCAATTGATCATTGTCGTGAGCGAGCGAGACCGAGAAGACCATTATTTGTGGAGACCCACACACAGATTGTGGTTAATCGACGCCACCAGCCCCGCTGCGAGGAGTAACCCACGATATCAGCGGGAGCTTATTTAGAAAACCAGCACGATCCCTACGCTTCATCCATCCATGGGACCTTCGCACTTCGATTATTCATCCACATTCATCCACTTTGTCCTCCATTCAACCAACGTCAATGGTCTTTCCTGACTACTTGGGCAAACTTAAGCAAACCAATTAGAGCTTCTACTAACACACGTCAAAATATGATTATGCATTAAATTACAAGAGGTGGGTTAAGTTTATTATTTACCAAACATGGGTTGGAGGTTTTTTCTTAATCTTTACTTTGGTTGTATTAAAGTACAAGGGAGAGTGTGTAAAGAGGAGTATAATGGTGTATGAATGAGTTCATTGACAATTGGTGCTATTGTGAACTTATTGTCATTGTACACTTCATCAATCCTTTACACTCCTCTACTCTCTCATTATTTTTTGTCTTCTTCTTGGCCTCCTTTTGCCTTAAGACCAAGATTAGCATAATCCCTATAATTCCAATGCACATGATCTAAGCATGACTATGTTGCCTTCAATCATTTGTGAATGAAATGATAAACTTAATACCCAAATTTTTGGAAGAAACATAAATAAATAAAGTTAATTCAATGAATAATATTTGGAAGTAATAGAGTGCTTAGTTGATTGGTTGAAGATGATTATACATTTTAAATTTGCACTATGTTCATCATCCTTTCTCCATGGATAATTATTAAAATAAGTTGGTACTATGATAAAATCTTAAAATGAAACTTTGTGTATTTTTTAAAAGTCTTTCTCCATGATTTTTAGTGTTATTAATTACTCAATATTAATGACCTCATTGTGTCATTGCATTTTATTAAATTATATAAATTTATGGAAATATATTGGATGGCTATATCCTAATGAACTCATATTGTAAAAAATGTCTCATATTAGTTATGTTGGGTGTGGATTAAATATCAAAAAGAAAGATTGAATTCACCAAGTGAATCTACCAACGAAAATAGGACTCCAAAATCTCAAAGACGTTGCATGATGAATGTCAACATTCATTTATCTCTTGCATTCAAAGAAGAAAAGAAAAAAGAAGCTTGGATGACACTTGTTGGAAAGTACTTTTACCCGACCACCGAAATGGGCTTTAAAATAAATGACTTTAAATGATGAATTGCATAAATAGCAAGATTCAGTTTTTGGACTAATTAAAATACTATTATATTTATCTATAGAATCATCCTGAATGTTTTCATTTTGTATTCATTGTTTTAACTTTATAGCTGCATGTTACTTTCCAGGTTCTAACACTGTAGTATACATTATTTGTTTATTGTTTTTATTACTTCTTTCTTCTATAAGAAAAAAAAAAAAAACAAAACAAAACAAAAAAAACAAAACAACAACAACAACAACACACAATAATAATTTTCACTAAATCCATCAATTTGTATGTTTGTATGTGTATGTATATATATATATATATATATATATATATATTCAAGCTGATCATTAGGATTTTTCATTTGCCTAATTGAACTTTAATGAATTGCCATATAAATGAATGGCACTATTTTGACAAAAATGCTGATTAGGAAAATTATTCCAATTCAATTTTTAAACTATGTTTTATGTTCATATTTGGCCCAATGCATGTATATGTCTACAAATACTTCCTTCAACAGGTGTTGTAGCAATATTAACTTCACTTGAGAAATTCATATATTGAGTGTGAGCCTTTATATATTTATTTATTTGAACCATGGGCATTTCAAAAGTGAAATCTTAAAGCTACCATTGGTGATTTTGTATAAGAAATTTGATGCAAATCTAATCAAACATATCTATATATTTTTATAAAATTAAAAAATATACCATTGTGATATATATATATATATATATATATATATGTATACATATATGTATATATGGATGTGTGTGTAGTAGAATATTAAATAGACTATGACTTTTACTGAATTGATCCACCCATCTTAATAAATAATAATTAAAAAAAAAAAAAAAAAAAAACCCTCTGGATCCATTTTTTGTTGCTAAATCCAAAACCAATGAAAACCAACCACATTCACCATGATCACCATATTCTTCATCATAGATAGGTCAATTTAATAAAAACTTGGGTCTATTTAACATTCATATATATATATATATATATATATATATACATACCCACAATATTTGAAATGAATAAATCCTAATCTTTAAATTCATTATTTTACACTCTTTGTGTTATTGATTAAATAATAACAACAACATCAAAAAAATAAATGCAACATGTCAAAACATCTGTGATTTATTTGTACTGTTTTTAATGTTCATCTCTTTAATGAAAAAGAATCACAAAAATGAGAAAAAGAATATGCGAACAAGCAAAAACATCTACCAACACTATCCATCTCATGATGAGTGAGAGGCTCTTCAAGAATCATGAAACAAGAATGTTTAGAAATTGTGAATCAATGTAATTTCTTCGATTGGGGTAAAAAGCACAACACTTTTGGAAGGCACACAATGTCAATCATAAAAACATGACTATACCAGGGAAACTGCAAACAAGAGGAACGACAAAGGAATGGAATGGCATGGCATGGCAAAGAAGCAGGAAGAAGAGTGGGTGCATTCACATGCAGTCACATTACTCACAGGGAGCGAGGGGAGCTTCACCCAAGGCAGATCTTGATTCATGTTTATTTATTCATACATTCACTCATTCATTCATTGATTCTGTAAAGTCGTGGTGCATGGACTGCTGCATTCTCCTCCCTGTCCCTCCGTTCCTCCTCTTGGGCTTTGAAAGCCGTGGCAGCGAAGGGAGGCCCAGAATCCAAGCAAGCGGCGACACTGCCTCTGCCACCTCTCCTCTCTTCCACTGGCAGGCAGCAGTCAGTGGTGGATGCGTCACGGCGAAGGAGCCCCCCCTGGAGCGGCGAGGAAAGGGATTGAAGGGGAAGGGGGAGGGAGTCTAGGCTAATCCAGACAACACAGACGGCAGATTAGCCTGGTTTGTAGCAGGTGCAGACGATTTGAGAGATGGGTTCAACCTAGCCTGCATGCGGGCAAGTGCAGCAGCAGCTGCCAGCCAGCCAGCTGGCCATGGAAGAAGGCAAAGGAAGAAACACATTAAAAAGGAAGCGAAGCAAAAGAAAAAAAACGAAGAGAGAGGGGATTACTAAGCTGGGTTGTTCACAAAACGGGTAGCGCCCGACTAAGCGGACGGAGGGACGGGGGGGAGGAAGGGAGGGAGGGGCAAGTAGGCGTGGCGTGAGGCAGGCAGGGAGTCAGGCAGGGCCAAGCTGAATGAGAAGGGCAGCCGGCAATCCGGAGGGAGCGCGGCGCGGATCAGAAAGCGACCCACGGATTAGGTTCCGATTCACACGACGCAGGTGGCCAGATGGGTTGAATGTGTGTTTCAATATAATTAATAATTATCAAAAAGAAAAATCTTTCTTTTTCTTATTTTTATTCTCGGCAGCGTGTTCGTCGAGGAGGGTGGAACAGTTTTTTTTTTTTTTCCTTCCCTAGCCGGTTATTTAGTTGGTTGGTTGGTTGGATGGTTTGCCGGAGCAGGCTGCAAGGGGCTGGTGAGAAACGGTGGTGGGTGCCCTCCCCTTCCCTCCCCTCCCTGCAATTTTCCCTTGTCAGGGATTCAACTGACTTATTAAAATTAATGACGCAAGTTAAGCACCTGAGTTAAGGTTCGTCAGACTGCTCCGAATGCCAGGCATCACGGAGCGAACTGGGCTTTTTATGGCATGCGACGAGAGGAACACACTCAGGATAATGTCGTATGAAAAGTCCAGTGGCGACGACTGACGAGTGATGATGAGGCGGACCTCCTCCTTACAGGTGATCAACCCTCCCAGAGGTCATCAGTTGGGTGGCAGGCAGACAGGGCTGCAGATGTTGAAGCTGAAATCGAACTTGATCAGAGGGTCACTGAGAGGGACAAAACGAGAGTAAGATTGATAGAGTGAGGGGGTGACTGTGTACGAGCGAGAAAGAGAGAGGGAGAGAGAGAGAGAGAGACTGACAGAGGGACTCACACACAGAATTGCTTCAAGTGATCAGTGCTGAGTGATGAACTACACAAGGGAGATAGTGTGCATGAAATGAGTTCACCTGTCAAATCGTAAACGTCCTCACTCTCACTGTTCGTCTAATCGCGTCCATAATTGACAATTCTCTCTCTTGTCCGTCATCCGCAGTGTGTGAGAGAGTTTGTGTGAGTGGTGCTGGAGTGTATGTCTTCTTGACATCGCTCTTAGTGGTGAGGTCCTCGCGTCCGCTATACCGCAGTCTTAAGACTTTCCCCTCCCGTGTCATGTGTGCGTTGTGTCTTGCCTTTTAATTCTCCTGGTGACCCGAAGAACGTCCACTACCTGCACCTCTTGGAACTTCCCTTTTGGCGTTACTGCTCGCCTTTACAATTGGCGAGGAAGAAAATGCTAAGATCGAGCTCATTCATACGCTCCTATCTGGTCCTCACTCCTTTTGCGTCTTGCTAGTCCTTCACCCATTACGAGACTTTGGATGCTCGTTGTGATTGGGGAGATTGTTCGAAGAAAGGTACCTTTGTGACGCCGGTCGTATCCTGTCGTCTTCACCTCGGGTAGTATTCAAAGGACAACGCGGTTGTTTGGGAGAAGAAGCTATATGCTGGAGATAGGCAGTGAACAAGTGTGTGTGTGTTCTTTTATTATTATATTATTATTATTATTTTTGAATCCTGCCTGCGAAGAGAGACGTGACGGAGTAATTGCCATCGGGGGCTCGTAGAATTCACCCGGATTGTAGCTATTTGGCGTCAGCACAGGGGGGTGTGGAAATTGGCATTACGCTCAATGGCAGTGCAATCACAATACCCGGCCAACGTTATTCTCACAGATGACGGAACCAACAGGTCTTGATCGTCTCCTTGGATTTGCACCCGGACGAATGTGCGTTTCTCATTTGTTCGACTTCTTCTGGATTTGGATAGTTTGTGCAATGATCTGAAGAGCCTTCTCTCTCTCTCTCTCTCTCTCCCTCTCTCTCCGTGGTCGACACGATGGGCTGTCAAGCTGATTTGTGCGCTTAATTGGATCAGGACCCGGACTGTGGCTGGAGATGAAGACCACCGTAGCTTCTTGACGGCCGGTGGTATTAATCAGAATTCTTTCAACCTTGGGAAGTTCCAGACTCCGTCGACCGTGATGATCGGATCCAATCAGTTTCGTCAATTCAATCAACGTGAGTCCCCGGACAACTACATCTCTGAATTTGTTAATGGAGAAACGTGTTGCGCTTTCATGCCTCGATCTCTTTCAATTCCTTGATGAAATGCTGACCCCCCCCCCTCCTCTCATTGTTCGCGAATCGGGGCTGATGAATTGATTTGTTTTGTTCTCTTGCTTTTACAGTTGTAGGCGTGCATCAGGGTTACGCGCCACAGGTTGATGCCTCCCATCTGAATGGTGCCGAGAAGGAAATCGCCGCTAGCAATCTTCTTGGATCAAGGAAAAGAGCACGAGAAACAGAGGAGCTCCGAAGCCAATGGCTGCAGCAACGGCAGCTTCTGATGAACAGCGTGTCCGATTTCCATCAGAATACTGGTCCTGGATCTGTGGTGAACCCACAATCAACAGGTGTTTCGACGGGATTGCGTCTCACCTTTGAGGATGACCGGCTACGCTCTAGCTCCCCCGTCTCTACCAGCGGACGAGTTGAGGCTACCAAGAATTCTGTCTCAAGCATGACCGAGAGTTTTGGCACGCATTTGCAGCAAGAAAGAAATGAGATTGATCACCTTCTGAAAATTCAGGTACCTTGTGAAAACCATGCCCTGCTATCGGTTTCATGGGGATGCCATTGCCGAGTGGATTGATCTACCTTTAGATTATCAGACCCATTGTCCGAAGAACTCTTGAAATGCCAAGTTAGGTTTTTGTACATCTTTCAGTTCCGATTAGGACAACAACCCGATTACGAAATTCGAACTCTGGTTTTTTAACAAAATTTATCTTTGCAGAGTGAGCAACTGAAGGCCTTTCTCGAAGAGAAGAGGCAACGTCACTCACGCCAACTTGTAGCTGCAGTGGAGGAAAGATATTCACGCAGGCTACGCGAAAAGGATCTGGAAGTAGAGAAAGTGAAGCGCCAGAACCAAGAATTGATGGAGCGTTTCACACAGCTCAACGCTGAATCGCATCACTGGCAAAACAAGCTTCGCACAACGGAGGCCATGATGACCGTCCTTAAATCCAATTTGCACCAGACCCAGCAGCAGCAGCAGGGCTACCCGCTGAGCAGGGAGCAAAGCAAGGAAGGGTGCGGTGATAGCGAGGCGGATGACTGCGCGTCCTCATACGTGGATGACCGCAACGACGCCCACACTCGCACCTTCAATGAAAACAAGGAGCTCCGGGAGCAGCGCACTTGCAGGGTGTGCCGATGCAATGACGTCTCTGTGCTGCTCTTGCCCTGCCGGCACCTGTGTCTGTGCCAAGACTGCGAAGGCCAGCTTCACGCTTGCCCTCTTTGCCGAACTCCCAAGAACGCCAGCGTGCAAGTGTACATGTCCTGAATCGGAACCAATCCTTTCTTAACCCTAGGAATCCAATCGTGGGGCTGATAGGGCACCAACATATATAGAGCAATTATATGAATCATACAGCAGTCCACAGATGAGTGTCTACATACAATCAACAGATGTTTAGTCGATCACCATGTCGGATGGTCGATTTAGAGTTATCACCACTCATTTTTCTCTTAAGAGAAAGGGCAAATGTGGATAGATAGGATAAGGTTTATTCAATTTGCATGCGCCACTGCTGTGGGTGCGTGTCAAGGTTTTGCAGTGTGCCATTTACTTGTTAGTGCGACCAACCTCCGTTTACGATGTACATGCTCCCCAATTTTTTGCAGTTCTAGAAGGTTTATCACATTTTAGTGATCCATTATCTCACTGTTGGTGCCTCAAAGTTGATCGATTATATTGCCAATTGATCGACTCCATTGAGTCCATCGCCCGACACAGGACTGATATGCCCTTCTTCATCTGGAAAACACAGCCCTTGGTTGTTGTGTCGTGTGGCCTTGGCATTGTGTGTTCTGTGGCCATGTTTGCGGCAACTGCGTTCTTCGCATGAATGCTCAGCAGCATCAGCGTAGGATATACCAATTGGAGTGATGCTATGAAGAGGCATTGCAAAAAGGTGATGATACTGAAGTAGGTGTGTATTGAACAAGCTATCTTGCCGTCCATCAGGGGGTAGGAGCGCAATGCTTTTTGTGTCTCTTGTACTGTGTGAGAGCAATGACCTACTACGAAGTGCACATATGGTGCATTGTGGTGAGTTAGTGTTGGCCCTTCTCATTATAACCCACATCAGTCTTTCAGGTGATGTATCACGGCACGCTTCACATGGACATTGGGAGCGCCTTCACAATCATCACTGGTTTCACCACCACTTTACTGGAGCATGGTTGTTGATCGATGTCCATTCAACTAGTACCTCGATAAGCGTGTGGCATTTGTGGTCTTACAAACTTACATGTCCGTTGTCACGTCCTCACAATTCACCGTAGCGCCAGCTTTAATCTACCGACAGCAGTTTGTACTCTGATTGCAACATTCAACTCGTCAAACAGTGCAGTGCAGACCCATTGCATATCAAGAGGCGTCGTCAAAGGCATGGGCAACTCTATCTCCCCGGAAGTTACTGCGAGTGGGTCAAGGAAGGAAGGGCCAAACTGTGTGCATGTCCTCTCTCTCCTTTCTGGTCCGCAGTACTACGCATGACGAGCTCCTGCCACCAGATCACACTCCGGATTCTCATCAGCTCTAGTCACGGCATAGGTCAGAACCTGACGGTGGTCAGGACAGCGACTTTCAGATTTCAGCGAGCCTCCATGAGTGAGGTCCCTGCAACCGTAACTTCTTGTGATTAGCCTCAGATTGGACTCCAGGAGTTTATGGGGGAGTGCCAAGGATTGTGCTCGCGACGCAGGCTGATTGAAAGAGTGTCTGAAAGGGGCTGGGCTGTATGTACCCTGATCGATTCGAGACCCTCCTCCGCCGCACGAGGTCACACCTCCTCCCCGGCAGGCTCTTCATGTACAATCATTCACGGACCGGCCAGTAAGGAATCCAATTATTGTACACGCTGCGTAAGAAGACTGATGCGAACAACTTAATGGCCTTGTCCGATAGCATGGTGTGCACACTGGTATGTCCTCATCTGGGTGCTCACCTGAACCACCAATTGCCGTGGTACTCCCCTCTACAAATTGTGAGGCGATGTCTTCCTACTTGCCATGTGCGGCAGACTGATAGTGATGAATTCAAGTCTGCCTGATGATCGGAAGTTGTGAAGTCATGGGGTGCAGGACTGTCTGTGGCACGTTGCCTCGCCTGCAAGATACGCTTGGGCTACAAGCTGCATGCTGCTCAGATCGATTCAGCATTCCCACATCGGACTTGCAGATGCTCCTAAGTTTGCGCTCTTGTGCAATACCCTGCCTGCGAACTTTAAAAAACAAAAATCAAGGTGCTGCATGTTTGAAGGTGTACGACCTCACAGAACCCGGACGAAAAAACAACGTGAACCAGTCATCTGTAATTATTCCCCTGCTACACACATTATTGGCATGCCCCTTGATCAGAATCTAATTAACTTATTAGTCTTTGAAGATTTGTACGATTGTCAGGTTTCGCTATTGAATTCAACACTGCTACAGACCCTGTATCTGGAGAGATTTCTTGTGTGCTCAGATTCTTCGTCGACGAAGAGTGAGGTGTGATGCACTGCTGGGACTCGCCGTCTGATGCAAGTTACTGCCCCTCCTGAGTCCCCTGCACTCGGTTTTGAAAATTAAAAAACTAAATTGCATAAGAATACAAAGTAAAATACCAAAAAAACAAAAACAAAAACAAACAAACAGAAAGGTAAAAGATACTCCACCTCGTTCATGTTGTGAGTTGATCCTTCCCATCACAGGATCCGCAGCCGAGATCCACCACCCACGTCCATTTACTACATATAGAACAAACGTGCTGTAAAGGGTTCCCGAATCCGACTGGAGACCCAAACCATAAGTGAAACTGCCTCACTTAAGAACATAGGTTAAGGATTTGTCTGATTTCGTCGTTTGTTTTCCACTTCTAGTCTTTGGACTACCCCAACGAAGCGAAGGATATCAGTGTGGAAACATTCTCCAGATTTCTTATGGACAAAATTCGAACACATCAGCAGCATCATCATTATCCACTACTACCGAAAAACAAATCTTCAGTCTCCTCAACAAAGCCTTCGTTCACACTCATGGTTTCAACCCCATCCAGGTGGGTCCTGGGATTCGCGCAGGTTTGAATTTCAAAACCAGTGATTCTGCTTGCTCACGCATTGGGTGTATGTAGCCCCCTTTTTTTTCTTTTTTCTTTTTTCTAGTGTGGACAAAAACTTGGACCTTGTGTAACTTGAAGGGAGTGTGGGCTTCGGTGCCCGCGGTTGAGTCAAACCCCGTCCTATAAGTCCACTGCCGTCGTTTTCGAAAATCCTAAATCTCGGCTGACTTTCGTAGCACTTGTATGATGATGGCGACCAGCATTTAGGGCTGTAGTTGGGGATCGAACCCACGTCGGCACATGCGGGAATCCGAAAGGACTTCCCCTGGGAGTTGGCTGGTCCCATGGATAGATGAACGTCTTTATGTATGTATGGATGAATGGGATTGTGTGGATGAACATTTGTAGGCTGTTTTAAAGTAAAACAGTATTGTACTTCAGTACATTAATATTTGCTTGTATTTCGAAGTCAGGCGTTGATTAATCTTTTTCTCTGGCATGGTAAAATATGATAACATTAACTTTTTTTAATACTTTTTAAAAAAAGAATTTGTAGTGGAATGACATTGTAACGTGCATGCCTCAGGTGTTTAAGTTCATTAATGGTACTAAATACCACATGTGTCTAAATGTGTCTAATGTGTCGAACATTACAAAGTTGAAAAATTAAGAGATTTTAGAATCGAAATTTCAATCTGTAAAGAAGAAGGGGAAAAATAAAAAAAAATAACATAACATAACATGTGCAAGTTATTTCCAAATAAATTATTGAGTAGTTTTTATGAATGTGTATGAAATGAATTTTTTGACAAGCCAGTCTTGAATTATTGGTTGCGAAGATGTCTATTGTATGCACTTGATTAGATAGTATGTCCAAGGAATTGAATTTATTTTTCTAATATAATATTATGTAAAAATCCTATTTTCATGCGGTAATATTTAATTTTAGAACACACAAGTTATGAATTTATTCACCTAAATTCGTAATCAAATTTCAACATATCTATATATATATATATATATATATATATCAATGACAGCTTTACTTCGTTGTCAATTTTTTAGAAAATGATTGTTCTTGTTAAGAATGGGTTATAACTGACATTACAATTACAAAACAAATATGTGGTATGGTCTCTATTATAAGAGAAAACTGGTATTTTTGGTTGGGAAAATTTTGAAGTCAATATACATTAATAAAAACATAGTTAATATTATTAGTTTCTGTACTGCTATAAGTATTTTGTACACAGTTAAATCATTTTGGTATCAGCTCATCAAAAAATCAAAAAATCAAATGTTAACAATTATAACTGTTTATAAAAATTTTAAAATATTTTTTATCTATAAATTCAACTTTATTCTTGATTAAAGTTGTGGAGATATATTATAAACATGGCACTTTGCAAAATGTATATTGACAACATATGATTTCAAATCTTTTGTTTGTAAACAAGTTTTAAAACTATTTAAAACAATAGATTTGAGTATGTAAAAAGAAAAAAAGTAAAAAGTAAAAATGCAAGAAAGAAAGAAAAGTGGCAAATAAATAAATAAATAAATAAATAAAAAAATATATATATATATCTAGAACTTGTCCAAATTTTCTAATAAAAATAAAAATAAAAACTTACTAATCATTCCTCCACATCTTAACCTGAGGGTGAATTGACCCAATCCTTTATACCTCAAAGTTATTCTTAAAAATTCACATCTATTACGCTAATTTTTTTTTAGCTTGCCCATAATCAATATGAAGACAAAACCCCTAGTAATACATATATTTTGGTTGAAAATCTGAGTGATATCAACTACAAGACCATTATCTTCATCCTTCCCTAGGAGCCAAGCCCGTAAACTCTACCGACACCCTATTGTCGGTAAGAATTTCCTCTCCTACGAGGGCAAATAGGGGTCGTGGTCGCAATCGTTGCTGCCGCAGCAACAGCAAATGGTGGCATCGCGGCATCGCGGGGGTCATGGAAGCGCAACGAACGCGCCTTTCCATCCAGAATCCACGCCGTGAGAATCAACTTTGTGGCAAAGCAAAGTTGGACTCGTCACTCATCTCTCCCAACTGTACAAATTTCGCCGCGCGTGAACTGGCCATGATCTGCGATTCGGCAACTCCGTTGTGAAGGTACCGTTGCGCGCACACGGTTCCATGGAGCATATCCTTAGTCTACCCAACGGCTCCTCTCGTCTCCCGATGCCTCGATCGCGTCGATGCTCGAGAATTTCCTTCGAATGGCGTACAATTCCTGCCAATTTTCACGGACGATCTCGCGGCGCTTGGGGAGGGTCTTCCCAAAGGCCAGTTCAGAGTCGGACGAAGGACAATGTAATCGAAATTGTGTGGAATTTTTAAATTCTGTGAGCCCCTTCTCCGATCACCAGCGACTCTCTGTGAGAGGCCATCGACAATATGGTGAACAAGCACCGCATCTGATTTGGTTTGCGAGAATTCAGAGATGGCAATTAATCGTCTGTTCATCAAACATCTCAAGGAGCCATTCAAGCCAATCACCCTCAAATTCGTCCAGATTAACACTCTCTCCCTCTGAAGTTTCATATTCTTCGCCATCGTGATCTTGTTCAATTATCGTGGTTAATTCGTTTTGCTGATTGTGTTCATCGAATTTTTGTTTCGTTTTTGTTCCAGAAAGTGTATTTTTCATGTTGTGTGTGTGTGTTCAAAAATCTAATCACACTTGTAAAACTGTGGGATTTGTGTTTAGAGTTTTAAGATATGTGGATTGTGATTTAGAATGCATGTTGTGTATCCAAATATAAAAAGTTAAATGTGTTTTGATTTCAGTCTTTGATCATAAAATTTTGATTTAATTATTAGCTTTTGTATTTTAGATTGACTCTATTATTTGGGTACAATAAAATAAAAGAATGAAAAGAGCAACTGTGAAAAATTATGTGAATTTTATTTGAAGTATACATGTATATATATATATATATATATATAGGACCTCTTCCTCTGGCTCATGAATAACTTACTAAAGCAAGTCATTGAGGTGAGATAAAGATACATGGTTGAAAATACACAAAACATATTTTTTTAGTATGTATATATATATATATATATATATATATATAAGTTACTTTATATATTTTACTTATTCTAATTTAAAGTCATGTTTGAAAAATATATATTTGCTGTGAAACATACTAAAAACATAAAAAGTTTTTAGTATTCTATTCTATTCTATTCTAGTTATTTATTTATTATTTGAATTTAAATTTAAAATTAAGATTATTGTCACATATTTTAAACTTAAAATAAGATAAATAAATAATTACATAATCAAATTTAATATTATTCTAAAATATTTAAATAATTATAGATTAATCAACTATGCAAGTTAAAATAAATTTAATAGACATTGTTTCTAAAAATATAGTAATATATATATATAGATTTTTTTTTTTAAGAATGATCATTTTTTTGGTTTAATTCCAAATGCATTATTAACTAAACAATCTTTTAGTACCTCATATAATTGCCAATAATGGCTACTAATCACAATCTATAGTTAAGAGTTTTCAAATATCAATAATATGAAGTTTTTATTTCAATTTTAATAAGTTTTAAAATCAATAAATAACTAAAAAGGAACAAAAAAATATACATATAATATTTGCTATAGCACATAGGTTACTCTTAGAATTAAAAAGTGTAGCAATAACTAATGCTTTTGGCAAGGTAAATAGAGAGCTAATGCTTAGTTGTGCATTTCTTATAGAACTATGATGCAATGGTAGAATATTATATTAGTGATATAAAATTCTTAAATTTTAATTATATGTTTTATGTGAAAAAGAATAAATAAGCAATGACCATATTGTTATTATTGTTTATTTTATTTTATTTTTATTTTTTTGTGATCAGACTATAAGTGTTAGGAATAATTGATTTAAGTAAGTTTTACATTTGTAAAAAGAATGGTGTTAGCATGTGGTCTAATAACATAGACTTTAGTATTTTATTTTATACATAAGAAGATTGATATTGTAATGAGAACCAAGATGCATGAGGTAGAGCATTAAAATAGTACAAAACAACAAGAATTCATTAATGTAAATAACTTAAACATGATTCTTTTGTTTTTGTATTAGAGAATATATATATATATATATGTATATATATATATATATATATATATATTAGCTAAGAATATGAATGTTATATATATATATGTCTTAGCTAAGAATACTAGTATGAAAAACTAATTATAAAATTTAAAGATTGTATGTGATAAAATCTATAAAAAAATGTTATTATAAGTTTATTTTATATTATTAGACATCAATTGATTGAAGATTGTTGTGCATTGAAAAAGACCTAAATAAACTGAGGAAGTTATGATTTGGTCTACAAAATTTGTATATACACTAAATAGTATATAAGAAGAAGATTGTTTAAAATCCAAATTCTTATCAATTATATTTGTAGATAGTAATAATTTTTTAGATTAATTTATTTAATATTTTTTCTATTAATTGAAAAAGATATTGGTTAAAATAGAAAATAGAGAATATAGTTTGAAGTATATAAAAACCAACATAATTATTAGTATATGCAAATTTGTTTTACTAACTTTGAATAAATTATTGGTTTATATTATACATGTCATTTAAAATACACAAAATACAATTATTAATAAGAGTGAAGAATCACAATACAATAAAATATAGTTGCATTTATTTAAAATATAGAATCTGAATTTGAATTCAAATTTTAGGCAGTTAATATAAAATAGCATTCCAAATTATTTTTTATTTATATTTTTATCCAAATTTTATAATACACTTTACATCTAAGTATATTTTTTTATATTGAATATTTTTAAACTACTTATCAAAAACTTTGTAGAAACTTAAAGGAATTTTAGTGTATTTTATAATTTGAGCACATACCATTAAAATCCAATAAGTAATGGAATAAATACATGTTGAATAGTTCACAATATAAAGAATATTTTTATTCAAATTGTAATAAACTTTAAGTAATAGATTAATCATATATTTTTTAATAAGCATAAAGAAAAATTTGTAAATGTTGATTAGATTTACGATTGTCTTTTGATATGTCAAGTAATTTTAAAAACACTTATTTTAAAATTTTTGTATACATAGAAAGCTATTTTAAAATTTCCAAACAACACAAGTATTTGTTCCATAATTCTTTTTATCCTTAGGAAGATTCTTGATAGTTTTCTTGTTAGCTTGTATATTTAAATACAAAACTAAGATCATTCTTGCTGTACTAATGTTTTTTTTCTATGGTTTTTTATTTAAGACTCTCTTATATTTGATTGTTAGGAATATCTT